GCATATATATTCAAGTTTGTATACCCACTAGCCTAGATTGTGTTCAGAAGTCAAGAACTTCCAGTAGTCCAGCACAACTTCCCTCTTCACAGATGGGAATAACATGGAGATCTGGGACCAAAGCCCCAGCTCAGAGTGTCCTCCATGTTGTGCACCCCCCCTTGACTTTAACACATATCACTAGCATAGGAAGGTGGTCAGGCAGCCAGGAATTCAGAATCCTAGCCCTCTCACTTACTGCAGAGACACAACCAAAAACAAGGTACACACATGCATGAAATTACTCAAGGTTAGACACTTCCTCCATCTTGACAAACCCCACAGTTAAATTCAGTCTTCATCTTACAAGACCTCTCAGCAGACTTCTCAGTTCTATATAACTCCCTCTTTGAAATACTTGACTCACATGGTCTCCCAAGAGACCATACTCTCCTGATCTCCCTCCCACTTCATTAAATGTTTTTCAGTCTCTTGTGTTGGCTCTTCCTGTTCCTGACCTTGAAATGTTGCAATGATCCAGGACTCAGTCCTCAGAGCAGCTCTTATATATCCTCTACCTGGGGGATCTCACCCTATAAAAAGCTTTAAATATATTATGCTGATGATGTACATCTCTACCCTGACATCTCCTCATGATTTACAAAACTACTACTTGCTATATGTACCTGGTTGTTTAAAAGAGACCTCAAACGTCCAAACCAAGAACTGTTGATTAATCACTCACCCTACTTCACTACTCTCCAATTCTGCCTGATCTTGGCAAATGGCACCACCATCCATTTGGTTGCTCAAACCAAAATTCCTGGAGTCATTCTTGAATTCTTCCTTTACCTCACACTCCAAATCCAATTAATCAACTAGTCCCATCAGCACTATTTTCCAAATGTATCTCTGTAGTACATTCTGTGGTGCACTGCTCACATCTCCCTCAGGACTGAGAGTAGCTGGGAGTACTGGTGACTGACAGCTCTTAATTGAGCCCTTCCCTTTGTATTGCCCTAGGCAGAAAAGACTCACCTTGCCTGAAGTCACTCCCAGGAGGTAGCCAACTTCAGTAAGTGGGGGAGGAGGCAGAGGAGGCGGGGGCAGGTAATAAAGGCCTGGCCTGTTGCCTCAAAGAGGGACAACTCTAAAGAACTATCCCAGATCCACAGTTCCTTGAATTGTCTGAAGCCTCTGTTGCAACTCCATCACAGCTCATCTTCCCCCTCTGTCCAATCCTGCTTCCTCTGCTCTCACAGGTATTATCCCTAGGAGTACTCCCCAGTAAAGTTTCTGCACACGAATCTTGAGTATTAGAGGCAGCTTTCATGGAACACAACCTATGACAGCTGGTACCAGAAATGGTCTTAGGAAGCAGATTCCACATGATACACACAGTCATTGGTGGTAACGGTAAACTGTGATGGGAAGAGAATGCATTGGCTGATGCAGGACCTCAGTTTTTGAAAACTGGGAGAAATACCAATTATAAGTACTAGGGAATTGGATGGATGTTACTGCAGGCCATCAATGCATTGGAAAAAAGGCTGAGAATAATACAGCACCAAAAATGTGGCATAAATATACAATGGAGTATTATTCAGACTTAAAAAGGAAAGATTCTGATATCTGCTATAACAGGGGTGAACTCTAAGGATATTATGCTAAGTGAAATAAGCCAGGCACAAAAAGACAGATACTACATGATTTCACTTACATGAAATACTTAGTCAAAATCATAGAGACAGAAAGTAGAAAGATGGTTGCCAGGAGCTGGGGGGAGGGAGGAATGGGGAGTTATTTTTTAATGGGCATAAAGTTTTCATTTTACCATATGAAAAGAGTTAAGGAGATAGATGGTTGCACAACATTATGAATCTGCTTAATACCAATGAACTCTATACTTAAAAATGGTTAAAAGAGTAAGTATTATATTATGTGTATTTTACCACAATAAAATAATTGGGAAAAAATCATAGCCCAAAATAAATAGCACAGATTAGTACTTACAGACTTACTAAGGAATTCAAAGGTGGAGGTGTCCATCATTTAATTCACCATTCTGAGTCCTACAAAAGCTAGATGGATCACAGTGGAGGATGACAGTGAACATCTGCTCAACCAAGTAGCAGAAGAGTCAATTGCAGCTATGGATCCAGAGGTGGTATCTTTACTGGAGCAGATTAACACAGCCTCAGGGACATAGAATATGGCCATTGATCTGGTGAATGCACTGTTTTCCATTTACCAAGAAGGAGAACCAGAAACAGTTGGCATTCCCATGTCATAGACAATAATATACATTTAAATCTCCTGCCCTCTGTCACAGAAGGACCTGGTCCGTCTACACATTCACTATATTGATGACATCATGTTAATTAGACTAGATGAACAAGAAGTAGCAATGAGGGTGTGCATGGGGGGCACAATCTGTTAAGTGTCTGACTCTTGGTTTTGGCTCAGGTTGTGATCTTAGGATCCTGAAATCGAGCCCTGCATTGTGCTCTGTGCTCAGCGGAGGGACTGCTTGGGACTCTCTCTCCCTCTCCATCTGCTCCTCAACCTCCACTCTAAAAATAAATAAATAAATCTTTAAAGAATAATAATAATTCTCTTATTTAAAAAAAAAAAAAGTAGCAATAGGTTGGAGGCCTTGGTAAGGTACATACACTCCAAAAGGTGGGAGATAATAGAGTCAATGAAGATTCAGGGATCTACCACATCAATTAAGTATTTCCAGGACCAGTCTGAAGCATGTCAGGACATACCCCTACCACACCAAAATAAAGGGCAAATGATTGCATCTCATACCACCTAAGAAGGAAACACACACCTGAGGCCTCTTTGAGTTCTGGAGGTAATATATGTCAAAATTAAGAAAAATTCTGTGACCCACTTCTGAGGAACAAGAAAGGCTAACAGCTTTCAATGGGGACCATAGTTGGAAAGAGCTCTTCAGCAGATCTAAGTCATGCAGCAAACAGCCCTGCCTCTTGGGCCACCTGTCCCAGTAGACTCTGTGGTATCACAAGCATCAGAGGTAGGAAAAGATGCTGTGTGGGGTTTACAGTGAGCTCCAAAAGAAGAATCTATAGCAGAGCTCTGTAACGGTTCCTGGTATGCTATGGGGCCCGGGTAGAAACAGAGTGCTTAAATATGGGACATCAAATGATATACAGCCAGAGTTGCCTATCTTGGGTTGTATTCTGTCAGACTCACCAAGTCATAAGTTTTGGTGATTCCAGCAGCAAACCATAGGACGGAACAGTATATGTGAGATCAAGCCAAAGCAGAATCAGAACACAAGCAAGCCCCACACACAAAGAGCGATGCAGATTTTCACACCCCATCACTGTTATACCATTACCTCTCCCTAAGCCCATACTTGTAACTACATGGAGATTCAGTATGACCAGCTGACACAGGACTAAAAAGGATGAGCTCGATTCACAGATTCATTTCTTAGTATGTGAGTGCAAATCGAAAAAGGCCAGTTATGCACTACTCAGCACTACTCAGGAATAATCTGAAAGACAGCAATGAGAGGAAATCTGCCCAGTGAAAAGAACTTCAAGTAGTGTACCTGATCATTCACTTTATGTAAAAAGAGAAGTGATCAGAGAACAATAAATATAGATTTGTGGACTAGCTTGGTTAGATGGTCAGTGGCCTGGAAGCAAAAAAGATTGGAAAATCAGAGACAAAGAGGTCTGGGCAATATGTACAAAGATGGAAGTGGACACAAAGTAAAAATATGTTTATATTGTATGGTCACTCCCATGGAAGAGGTATGAAACAACCAAGTAGACAGAATGACCCAGCCAGATAAAGTCAACCAGACTCTGTCAGCTGACACAATGAACACCAGTGACAACACAGTGGTATCGTAATGGAGTGGTCATGGTGGTGGAGATAGATCAACAGGCCAAACAGCATGGGCTCCCACTCACCAAGCCTAATATAGCTACTGTTGCTGCCAAATGCCCAACCCACCAGCATCAGAGACTCATACTGAGCCACTGACATAACATCATCCCTTCGGGAAACCCACCAGCCATTGAGCAGCAAGTTGATTACTCTGGAACTATTCCACTCTGAAAGGTGCAGTGTTTCATCCAGACACATATTTTAGGTACGTATTTGCCTTACTTGCCTGAGGAGCCTCAGCCAGCAGGACAATCCAATGATTAAAGAGTGTGTGATCTTTTGACATAAAATTACACATTACATTGCATTGGGCCGAAGGTCTTATTATACAGCAAAGGGGCTGTATAATGACTATAAGATCCACTAGTCCTATCACATACAGGAATCTCCGAACCATGGGAATATTTTGGACTTCTAACACACGCATCTCACCAGTAGAGAGCTGACACAAGTGGGGTGACATCTGAGGACTGTTCAGCACTGATAGAGGGGAAATAGAATACTTTGTTTTCTCTTGAGATCCTGAAACTTTCACCTAACAGTTTTTAAATAATCAAGTCGCGACTGGTCCAGAGAAGGAAGACATCCCTAATTTAGGCAAAGTACTAAATCGATCAGCTGATCCATGTCAACCCATGGATCAAGGTCTGACTCCCCCTAGACCTTTGGTGTCGATGTCAGAAAGAGACAGCAGCTCTGGGGACCTATCTGTGCCTGTCTTTTGTACAAGACCCTGAAGCATGAACCGAGACTGTGAACATCCTGAGAAAAGAGAAGGTCTCCTACTCATGAATTCACAAAGGCTAACCTGGCCCCTGAAATTCTGAACGGGTTCAGTAAATGCTGAGTCACCAGAAACCCACTCAGTATCTCCCAAAACGCCCAGGAGAAGCCTCTGGTCATTGTGGAAAGTGTTCTAAGAGGGCTGAGAACGTGTTTCGCCGGGCTGCATTATTCTGCGCTGCGGGGACTCGCGGAAGCGAACCCCAACACCGGTCTTTGAAAGAAGCTCTGCAAAGAGCAAGTATGGCTTCAACCTCTACCCTGCAACTCCGCCACGCTCCGGGTGCCACACTCCCTTGGTCACTCACATTCTCGGAGTTCAGACCAAATGAGGAGCCCCAGTTTTTCAGCCCCTCCTGGAGCTCCACGATGTCCACCAGCCCGTTCCCGTCGCGGTCCAGCTCTTGGAAGAGGATCTCGTAGTTGACGTAGTCATCGTCTTCCTGGCAGGCCACCGCGGGCAGCACGAAGTCCCGGAGCCAGCGCAGCATGGCCCGGCCCGCCCGGCCGCCTCTCCTCCGGGTCCCGGCGACGGCGTCCCGCCCCCCCGGCTGCGCCACCTGCCGCCGCCCCGACGACGACGCCGGGCTGCTCGCGGCTGCAGGTGGCGCAGGCAACGGCCCGACGGAGCCTCGGGGGCGGGCGGAGCCGCGCAGCTGGGCTACGGGGCGCCGCTGGGAGAAACTCCGGAGGCCCGCCTCGTGGGAAGCCGGGCCCAGGCCCTCGGGAGGGGCGGCGCCCCCGGGAGTTGGAAGTGGAGGCGCCAAGCGCGGCGGCACCCTGCGTCCAGGACCGTCCCGGGCTCGCCCGCGCAAGGGGGTAAGAGCACCCGGGTGTTTCCCAGGGCGAACTGAGCGGCTGCGACCTGTGAGTTGCTCTGACCCGCGCCTCGGACGGGAGCATCCCGTGCCCCGGTGCCACCCCTCCTCTCGGGGGACGTCTGAAGAGGGCTCCAGTCTCTCCCCTGCTGGCCCGCTCCCAGGGACCTTGGGGTTGTTTGCAGGAGCCCCCCTCTTCCTCACCTCCCACTTTCTCCCAGACGCATTGCAGCCTCGCCACTGCCCCCACTGGCCACCTTACAGAACTCTTTTGTCACAAAATCCAAAGGACGCTTTGATATCCTTGTCTTATTTCATGCTGGTCCTGTTTAGACACTGCTGACTACACTTTTTTCCTTTGTCTTGTGGGACACCAGACATTGCTGCCAGGCCCCAGCCTCTTTTACAGGCTCCCGCAAAGGAGCCCGAAACCTTCTAAAATTGAGGGTAGACAGGGTTAAGGGATTATGTAGAAACCTAGTTCTGTAATTTGTTGCACTGAAGCTTTGTGTCCTCAATCTCTGGTCACATCTTTTAAAAGTCAGAGGCACAGTCTAATGACAGGCCCAGACCAGTGTTTTAAAAAATATTTTTTCTTGGAAAATCCCAAGTCTTGGACCACAGAATAAAATTAGCTTATTTCTTAAAATAATATTAGGTATACTTTAAGATGTAATTTATTTCTTATAAATTTTATACGTCATTTTGTTAAATGCTAGATAAAAATAAGAACATTAAACCTGCTCATATAGAAGCTCACCATCTAGTGTGCTCTGGGTCTATAAACAAATAAAACTCAACTTAATTGCTATAATAAAAATGTGATCAAATGTCATAAAATATGTATTTTTAAATGAATGAGTTTTAGGAATTAATAATAAACAGAAAGCTATTAATAAAACTTCTAGAAAATATTGCAAGTGCTGAGCATTTATAAATATAAAAGACGTTTCTTCAAAAGATAAATAACTTTCAAACGCAAATATAGTAACATTGTGAAGCTTATAACATAGAAGTAAAATGTATAACAGCAATAGTAAAAAAGATGGGGGAGAGGACATGAAGTCTACTGCTTAAAGATTCTTGCATTATATGTGAAGTAGTTTACATTTTAAAATGTATGCAGGAAACCCTAGAGCAACCATTGAAAAAAAAACAACAACATGGAATTGTAGCTAATAAAACAATAAAAAGAGATAAAATAGAGTACTAAAAAATATTGTATTGACTCAAAGAATGTAAGAGGAAAAAAGGAAAAAGAACAGGACAAACAAAACAAATAAGATGGTAGACTTAAAGTTAACCATATAGATAACTACATTAAACATAATATTCTATGCAGTCCAATTAAAAGGCAGAGCAAGCAAGACCTAACTGTATACTTTCTACAAAAATGAGATATAAAGATATACAGGTTGAAAGTAAAAGAGTGGATAAGGAAATACCATGTAAACACTAATTATGAGGAATCTGGGGTAGCTATATTAATAATCAGCCAAGGAAGACTTCAAGACAAGGAAGACATTTTATATGTTAGGAGAGTTGATTCATCAAGATGGCATAACAACCGTAATGTGTATGCACCCAATAACAAAGTTTTAAAATATATGAAGCAAAAATGGATAGACTGCCTGCAAAGAGGAATAAATAGATCCACAACTGGAGTCAGAGATGTCAATATCTTTCTCACAGCAATGGATAAAATAAGAAAACAAAGTCTGTAAGGGTATAAAGACTTCGATGACATGATCAACTAATTGGCATTAATAGAACAGTATACCCATCAACAGGAGAATACCCATTATTTTTACCTGCACATGTAAAATTCACTAACAAAGATCATATCCTGGGCCACAAAACAAGTCAATAAACTTTAAATGCCTGAAATCAGACAGATTATGTTCTCTGACCACAGGACAATTAAATTGGAAATCAATCAGCAAAAGATGGTTGGAAGTACCTAAATACTTGGAAATTAAACAATATATGTGTCTAGTAAGAAGTTGCTCTGGCTGAGGTCAAAGATGTTGCTGCTTGTTTTCTCTTCTAGGATTTTGATGGTTTCCTGTCTTACATAAGGTCTTTCGTCCATTTTGAATTTATTTTTGTGTATGGTATAAGAAAGTGGTCCAGTTTCATTCTTCTGCATGTCACGGTCCAGTTTCATTCTTCTGCATGTCACTGTCCAGTTTTCCAGTACCTTTTATTGAGGAGACTGTCTTTTTTCCATTGGATATTCTTACCTGCTTTTTTGAAGATTGGTTGACCATAGAGTTCAGGGTCCATTTCTGGACTCTCTATTCTGTTGTATTGATCTATATGTCTGTATTTGTGTCAGTACCATACTGTGTTGATGATAACAGCTTTGTAATACAGCTTGAAGTCTGGGATTGTGATGCTTCCTGCTTTGCTTTCCTTTTTCAACATTACTTTGGCTATGTGGGATCTTTTCCAGTTTCATACAAATTTTAGAATTGTTTGTTCTACCTCTGTGAAAAATGCTGCTGTTATATCGAGAGGGATTGCATTGAATGTGTAAAATGTATTCTTTGGGTAGTATAGACATTTTAAGAATATTTGTTCTTCCAATCCATGAGCATGGAATGTTTTTCCATTTCTTTGTGTCTTCTTCAGTTTCTTTCATAAGTGTTCCATAATTTTCTGAGTAGAGATCCTTTGCCTCTTTGGTTAGGTTTATTCCTAGGTATCTTATGGTTTTTGATGCAACCATAAATGGGATTGACTCCTTGATTTCTCTTTCTGCTGCTTCATTATTAGTGTATAGATATGCAACAGATTTCTGTACATTGATTTTATATCCTGCAACTTTGCTGAAATCCTGTATCAGTTCTAGCAATTTTTTGGTGGAGTCTTTCAGGTTTTCTACATAGAGTATCATGTCATCTGTGAAAAGTGAAGATTTGACTTCTTCCTTGCTGCTTTGGAAGCCTTTTATTTCTTTTTGTTGTCTGATTGCTGAGGCTAGGACTTCTAGTACTATGTAGAACAACAGTGGTAAGAGTGGACATCCCTATTCCTGACCTTAGGGGAAAAAAGCTCTCAGTTTTTGCCCATTGAGAATGATATTAGCTGTGGGCATTTCATATATGACCTTGATGATGTTGAGCTATGTTCCTTCTATCCCTACTTTCTTGAGGGTTTTTAATCAAGAAACGATGCTGTATTTTGTCAAATGCTTTTTCTACATCTATTGAGAGGATCATATGGTTCTTATCCTTTCTTTTATTAATGTGGTGTATCACGTTGATTGATTTGTGAGTGTTGAACCACCCCTGCAGCCCAGGAATAAATTCCACTTCATCATGGTGAATAATCCTTTTAATGTACTGTTGGATTTGATTAGCTAGTGTCTTGTTGAGAAATTTTGCATCCATGTTCATCAGGGATATTGGTCTGAAATTCTCCTTTTTAGTGGGGTCGTTGTCTGGTTTTGGAATCAAGGTAATGCTGGCCTCATAGAATGAGTCTGGAAGTTTTCCTTCCATTTCTATTTTTTGGAATAGATTCAGAAGAATAGGTATTAATTCTTCTTGAGATGTTTGATAGAATTTCCCTGGGAAGCCATCTGGCCCTGGACTTTTGTTTGTTGGGAGATTTTTTATTATTGATTCAATCTCTTTGCTGGTTATAGATCTGTTCAAATTTTGTATTTCTTCCTGTGTCAGTTGTGTAGTTTATATGTTTCTAGGCATTTATCCATTTCTTCCAGATTACCCAATTTGTTGGCATATAATTGCTCATAATATTTTCTTATAATTGTATTTCTGTGGTGTTGGTTGTGATCTCTCCTCTTTCATTTGTGGTTTTATTTATTTGGGTCCTTTCTTTTTTCTTTTTGATAAGTCTGGCTAGGGGTTTATCAATTTTGTTAATTCTTTCAAAGAACCAGCCCCTAGTTTCGTTGATCTGTTCTACTGTGGTTTTTTTTAATTTCTTTTTTTTTTTAAAGATTTTATTTATTTGTCAAGAGAGAGAGAACATAAGCGGTGGCGGGGGGGGGGGGGGGCGGTGCGGCAGGCAGAGAGAGAGGGAGAAGCAGGCTCCCCGCTGAGCAAGGAGCCTGATGTGGGACTTGATCCCAGGACTCTGGGATCATGACCTGAGCTGAAGGCAGACGCTTAACCAACTGAGCCACCCAGGTGTCTCTTTTTTTTAATTTCTATATCATTTATTTCTGCTCTAATCTTAATTATTTCCCTTCTTCTGCTGGTCTTAGGCTTTATTTGCTCTTCTTTTTTCCAGCTCCTTTAGTTGTAAGGTTAGGTTATGTACTTGAGACTTTTCTTGCTTCTTGAGGAATGCCTGTATTGCTATATCCTTCCGTCTTATGACCACCTTTGCTACATCTCAAAGGTTTGGACTGTCATGTTTTCATTTTCATTTGCCTCCATGTATTTCTTTATTTCTTCTTTAATTTTCTGGTTGATCCATTCATTCTTTAGTAGGATGCTCTTTAACCTCCATGTATTTGTGGTCTTTCCAAATTTTTTCTTGTGGTTGACTTCAAGTTTCATAGCATTGTGGTCTGAAAATATGCATGGTATAATCTCAATTTTTTGTACTGGTTGAGGCCTGATTTGTGACCCAGTATGCGATCTAATCTGGAGAATGTTCCACGTGCACTCAAAAAGAATGTGTATTCTGCTGCTTTAGGATATGTTCTGAATATATCTGTGAAGTTCA